AATCTTACTGGACCTAGAAGTCCTGTAGACATCTTACTGGATCTAGAAGTCCTGTAGACATCTTACTGGATATAGAAGTCTTGCAGACATCTTACTGGATATAGAAGTCATGTAGACATCTTACTGGATCAAGAAGTCATGTAGACATCTTACTGCATATAAAGTCCTGTAGACATCATACTGGATCTAGAACTCTTGTAGACATCTTACTGGATCTAAAGTCCTGTAGACATCTTACTGGATCTATAAGTCCTGTAGACATCTCACTGGATCTAGAAGTCCTGTAGACATCTTACTGGATCTAGAAGTCCTGTAGACATCCTACTGGATATAAAGTCCCGTAGACATCTTACTGCATCTAGAAGTCTTGTAGACATCTTACTGGATCTAGAAGTCCTGTAGACATCTTACTGCATCTAGCAGTCTTGTTGACATCTTACTGGATCTAGAAGTCCTGTAGACATCTTACTGGATCTAGGAGTCCTGTAGACATCTTACTGGATATAGAAGTCATGTAGACATCTTACTGGATCAAGAAGTCATGTAGACATCTTACTGCATCTAAAGTCCTGTAGACATCTGACTGGATCTAAAGTCCAGTAGACATCTCACTGGATCTAGAAGTCCTGTACACATCTTACTGGATCTAGAAGTCCTGTAGAAATCTCACTTGATCTAGAAGTCCTGTTGATATCTTACTGGATCTAAAGTCCTGTAGACATCTTACTGGATCTAAAGTCTCGTAGACATCTTACTGGATCTAGAAGTCACGTAGACATCTTACTGGATCTATAAGTCCTGTAGACATCTTACTGGATCTAGAAGTCCAGTAGAAATCTCACTTGATCTAGAAGTCCTGTTGACATCTTACTGGATCTCAAGTCCTGTAGACATCTTACTGGATCTTACGTCCTGTAGACATCTTACTGGATCTAAAGTCCTGTAGACATCTTATTGGATCTAAAATCCTGTAGACATCTTACTGGATCTAAAGTCTCATAGACATCTTACTGGATCTTAAGTCCTGTAGACATCTTACTGGATCTAAAGTCCTGTAGACATCTTATTGGATCTAAAATCCTGTAGACATCTTACTGGATCTAAAGTCCCGTAGACATCTCACTGGATCTAGAAGTCCCGTAGACATCTTACTGCATCTAGAAGTCCTGTAGACATCTTACTGGATCTACAAGTCTTGTAGACATCTTACTGGATCTAGAAGTCCTGTAGACATCTCACTGGATCTAGAAGTCCCGTAGACATCTTACTGGATCTAGAAGTCCTGTAGACATCTTACTGGATCTAGAAGTCCTGTAGACATCTTACTGGATCTATAAGTCCCGTAGACATCTTACTGGATCTAGAAGTCCTGTAGACATCTTACTGGATCTAGAAGTCCTGTATCCACTGTCTCACTGGATCTAGAAGTCCCGTAGACATCTTACTGGATCTAGAAGTCCTGTAGGCACTGTCTCACTGGATCTAGATGCCCTGTAGACAGGCTGATTAATAAAAGGCGCTGCCCCGTACGGAGCCCCTCTGTAGGGCGGTATTTGGCCTACTCTTCTTCCACGCTGGCCGGTACGTCTTAACAGAGGTTGCGCATACCCACACTTTACCCCACCGTACGCGGCCTGCTGATATCACAGAATAACCGGATGGCGAGGTTAACATTACTCAGTGCGTCCACCGACTCTCCGGACAACGACGCTCTACAAACTAAACTAAAAACAACGCCAACGCGGGCAAGGAACTGGGTTCATTCAAAGGTGACCGGCCGCGCATCTCGACGCCCCTCCACCCGCGAGCAAACTCCTGCAGACGATGGAGGAAAATCAGCGCATCTCGACGAGGGGGGTCGGCAAGCCGATATGACGAGGGCCATTTTTTGGGGGTAAATCCGTTTACAAACTCAGTCCTTCGAGAGCCGCAATGAAACGTGAATACGCGACGACGGTGGTCCGTGACAAACTGAAACTATATTTTTTATTCTTACCACGTATGAGGGCCCCCCCCTAACAAAGCTGCTACGGAGCACTTTTTCAGAACGACCTGGCCATCACAAATGACAGCAGCTCAACCAAGTGGCTGATATCACCATCATCACGTGGACATTCATAGCAATAGCCAAATACTCTGAACACCGATTCTAAACGTCGAGGGAAAATCCACACGACCACCGGGGAGAGAAACACGCGGACTCCAAATATACAACAGGCATCGTCGGGATCGAACCCATGACCTCCTGTATACCAGGCAAGGTAGTTAACATATTCTTTGTTCTTTCGGTAAAGTCACGTAGGTAGAAAATAAAATAAAATTTAATAACAGAAAAAAGAAAAATGTATTGAAAATAATAAAAGCAAATCATTACTTAAACATTATACTTTATTTAATTTTATTATGTTACTTTTTATTTTCTACCTACGTAACTTGACCGAAAGAACCAAGAATGTGAATTCCTGCAGTCAGGAAAGTTTTAAGTCAAATTTTAAGGTCGTGAACAATAAACGCTGTCACATAGCAGCCCTTAAGAGTCCGCGTGCACCTCTGGAGCCGCGGGTTTGCCGACCCCCTTGCTCTCGACGCTCCGTAGACAATAAGTTAACCTGCAAACGGAATGGCGCATCCTGGTCGCCCCGCCGACAATAAAGAATGCAAAACGAACGCGATTATCTCTGCATCTGGACCGCTGAGTGATATCCTAGATGCATCTCGGACTACAATAATTGGATTTCTATCAGACGGATTAACCTCTAACTGGCGAATCTCGACTGCTGTGGGTGGTAATCAATGCTCTTGAGACGAACTCAGGTTAATCTAAACTTCCCATCACCGCATCTAGACGCTACGCTGTCCCCCCCACCGCACCTCCCGATTAGCACGGTCGGCTACGTACGGTGCCCAAAGCGGTTCACACACACACGTACGTACACGAAGCACCCTGCTGAAATCTATGGACAAGTGATTGAGGCTCTATAGACAGGCGAGTATAAATAAATTGGTGCAACCGGACGCTCTACAGACGTCCAGGCGTATCTCGACGGAGCGCACGGTATGCGTCTGAACGCCCGACAGTGATATGCCCAAGTGCATTTAGAAAACTATACAATTGCCTACGCGAGTATATAAACAACAGTAACCCGACAACATCCAAGCGCGTCCCGCAGACACCGACCTCCAAATACAGTCCCTTGCCGCTGCAACGCTGCGTGTTGTTTTCACAACGCGAAGTGAATACATAACGCGATGATGAATGATAGGGAACACGTTTGTACAGAAACTTAGGTGCGAATTGGATACATAACGCGATCGAGCGAAAGGAACTACGTCACGCGAGTAGGAATTAGCGGTTGTACGGCTGCCTCAAAGTAGCATCATCATCGTCATCATCATCATCATCATCGCACAAGGTATTGAGATGCTGCTGGATCCTTCAAGGTGGTACCCACGCGCCTGAGTCTTTGTTCTGCCTGCGTACGCATCTCACGCGTTATCGCGGACTGTGCTTTACACCCCGATGTCACGTGTCATTATTTGTTATTACGACCAACGCGTTACAGGAGAACCGGACTGAACGTTATTTTCCCACATAAACCGTGCGTCATTCTTAATGAAACATCTGCATCTCCCGGGGAGTCATCCTCCTGAATTCCTCACCGCCATCTCCTCCTTCATCGTCGTAAAATCATCAACGGTTAATAGAAAAGAAAACATTATTTACAATGTATCACTTATTGTCGTAATTGTTCTTCAACATTTACCATTTCCGCCCCTACCCCACAGATGTCCTTCACTCGTTCCAAGTACGCTAACCCCCCATTGCTTTCCCATTGGAACAAAGGGTTCCTGCGTTCGTCACCACACGCTCAAGAGTATGTGCCTGCTGCTATCAATGTCCACATGGTGATGATGTTATCAGCCACTTGGATGAGCTGCTATCATTAGTGAAGGCCAGGTCGCTTATGAGAAAAGCAGCTAAACAGCAGATCAGTGGGGCCTTACACTTGGTAACAATAAATATAGTTTAGTTTTAGTATGGGTCTCCATAAGTACGGTGGATTTCTATGGCTCTCTGTGGGTGTATGTGGGTGTATGTGGGTCTCTATGGGTATATGTGAGTCTCTATGGGTGTGTCTCTATTGGTATATGTGAGTCTCTATGGGTGTGTCTCTATGGGTGTATGTGGGTCTCTATGGGTGTATGTGGGTCTCTATGGGTGGTTGTCTCTATGGGTGTATGTGGGTCTCTATGGGTGGTTGTCTCTATGGGTGTGTGTCTCTATGGGTGTACGTCTCTATGGGTGTGTGTCTCTATGGGTGTGTGTGTCTCTATGGGTGTATGTGGGTCTCTATGGGTGGTTGTCTCTATGGGTGTATGTGGGTCTCTATGGGTGTGTGTGGGTGTCTATGGGTGTAAGTCTCTATGGGTGTGTGTGGGTGTCTATGGGTGTAAGTTTCTATTGGTGTATGTCTCTATGGGTATATGTGGGTCTCTATGGGTATATGTGGGTCTCTATTGGTATATGTGGGTCTCTATGGGTGTGTGTGGGTGTCTATGGGTGTAAGTCTCTATTGGTATATGTGGGTCTCTATGGGTGTATGTCTCTATGGGTATATGTGGGTCTCTATGGGTATATGTGTGTCTCTATTGGTGTATGTGGGTCTCTATTGGTGTAGGTGGGTCTCTATTGGTGTATGTCTCTATGGGTATATTTGGGTCTCTATGGGTATATGTGGGTCTCTATGGGTGTATGTGGGTCTCTATGGGTGTATGTGAGTCTATGGATATCTATGGGTCTCTAGGAGTCTGTATAAACACACGTTTAGAGTATTTGGCTTCTGCTATCAATGTCCACGTGATGGTGATGTCAGCCACTTGGTTGAGCTGCTGCCATTTGTGATGGGCAGGCCACTTCTGATAAAAGCTACGGGGCTCAGTGGGTGCCTTCCACTTGGTAACAATAAAAATGAGTTTAGTTTAAGGAGGCACCGTTTTTGTTTTTTTGCCTCGGGGCTTCCTTCCTTGCAAACGAAATAAATAAAAATTTCACGCCGGCGGACGCCGCGGGCCCCTTAAAATCCGGCGTTCAAACACGACGGGCGGCGGCACGAAGGTGCGGCTACGACCGCTGCCTCCCAGCAGCCGCCCGGCTCGTTGGCGCCGCTGCCGGCGAAAAGTTCCTCCGGCTCACAAACGCTGGCGGAGTGCCGCTTCAGAAGGGGTGGGGGGGGGGCGTGGGGGGGAGGGCGTGGGGGCTCAGGCGGGCGTCCAGGGTCTTTGTCGAGGCGCCCTTCCTGACAATGGAGGTGGGGGGAGGTAGTAGGGAGGGTAATGGGGACTAACCAGGACTTTACCCCACCGCCACCGTGCCCAACGCCAAAAGCGAACCGCCGACCTGACTGCGTCCGTTTGAGCTTCTGGGCGGACTGCCTCAGGCGGACCGACTCAGACTGCCTCGGGCAGACCGACTCAGACTGACTCGGGCGGACCGACGCCGACTGCCTCGGGCGGACCGACTCGGACCGACTAACTCAGACCGTCGTCACCATCGTCACCATCATCATCCCCGTCACACCACCCACCCCCGCCGGCGTCACAGCCCGTCGCAGTCGTCCCCCTCCAGTGGGTAGACCTCGACTCCGGCCTGCAGGCTCTGCCGGCGCAGCCTCCACACGTCGCGCTTCATCTCAAGGATCTCGCGCTCCAGCCGCAGGTTCTCCATCCTGGCCACGTGCTCCCGGCGCGCAAACTCCAGCGTCGCGGCCGCCGCGTGCCTCTGCGCGGCCGACGACGACGACGGCGGCGGCGGAGCGGCGACGCCGGAGAACGACGGCGTCTCTCCGTCCGGCGCGGGAGCCCCGGGTGGTCCTCCTCCCGCTACCGCCGACGACGCCGATCCGACCGAAGCCAAAGGTGCTACCGACAGCTGGGCGCTCGCGGCGGTGCCGGCGGACGAGGAGGAGGATGGAGAAGCCGAAAAGTTTGCCGCAAACCGCCGGGAGTCGCGAGAGAACGCCAGGCCCGGGTGGTCCCGGTGTCTCTGAGCGCGGACCCTCGACATGATCGCCGCGATTATCTTATCGTTGCGCGGCTGCGGCTGCTGCCTGTGCTGATGATGCTGCTGCTGGTTCTGATGGTGATGGTTGAAGGGAGCGACGTTCCGCAGGTGGCCATCTCGAAATCCGGACATCCCCCGCCTCTGCGGCAGAGCGTTGTTTGGCGTCAGAGGCGGCACGGATTGCGAGAGGGTCGGATTCCTGCCGCTGCCGCCTCTGCCGCCGGTGCCACCGCCGGTGCCATTCTGCCCGGACGTCCTTGCAGACGCGGGGGTGGCGGTGAGGGGGGGCAGGGGGGGGTGGGGGTGAGCCACGGCCAGGGAGAGGAGGGTGGAGGCAGCAGACGCGCTAGGAGAGGAGTCCACCACCATCACGTCGTTGCCATCGCCACCGCCGCCACCACCGGTGTCGTCTCCGTCACCACGACCGGCGTTGCCGCCGTTGCCGCCGTTGCCGCCGTTGCCGTTAGGCGAGCCCAAAGCCTCCGGCCTGCCGCGAGAGACGTTGGCGGCGGCGTCCGACGTTTCGGGTCTCCCTCCCTCCGACGCCATTTTGCCGTCCCCTTCGTAGGGAGAGAACCTCTCTCGCCGTCCCTCCACCTCCTCCTCCTGCTGCTGCTGCTGCAGCTCCTCCACCTCGTCGTCCTCCTCCTCCTCCTCCTCCTCGCGCTTGCCGATGCGTGGGTGGTCCGACGGCGGCGATGTCTCCATGGCGACGCCGCGGGAGGTCGCCTCCTTGCCGCCGTCGTCGTTGTCGAGGAGGCGGCGGCAAGGGGAGGAGAGGGCGTCCGTTGAGAGCCCGGCTACGGAGTGGAGATTATAATTCAACGAAGAAAAAATAGAATTACAGAAACCACCGCCCCGATCTATGCCCTCCCACTGTAGGTACTTTCACTACGACACGTAGACTTTCGTGACCAATATCATCCATAACAGGTTTTTTGGGTTAGATCACGTAAATATAAAATGTGTCATTACAACTTGCTTCATCAGGCGACAGCCTCTCCTCCACAGTGAGCGTTCGGACATTCCACATGGCCACTTGCAGTGGTCTTTTGCTGTTTCTGGAGGAACCCAGAGGATACGGATTCAGTCTCCTGGTTCCGCCAAATGGGGTTTGGCCAGGATACGTCATAGACGCCTGTCCCCGCAGAGCCTTCGGTAAAAGCTGAAGTAATTTATTTTGTGCGTGATTGTACGGTAATTAAATTGAAGGTGGAGGGGTTACCAGCCCCTCGCACTTGTCCAGAGCCCAGGTTGGCCGTTGTGGTGGCTACAAGTGCCATGAGGGGATCAGCTGATTAAATTGGCCTTTCCTTTATGGCATTTCTCACATCCACCACAGCGTTACCGTCCGGCACCATGGAGGAGGTGGTCCCGGACTTTACACACTCACACATGCCACAAAGGTACCACACCTACACTCACCACATGCACACAAAGACACCACATACATACATACGTACACACGTACACACGTACACACAAAAGACACAGATCCCCTGCATAGCCTTAACACTGTTGGGGCAAGATCTGTTAGCAAGTAGCACCTATGAAGGCCAGCACAGCACACAAGGGGGTGGGTGGCCAGCACCACAACCGGCCGCACACGAAGACACGATTCACACACTTGCCACATACTCAAACATACTACACAGACACTCACACACACCACACACAATGCATACACACTCACTCACAGGTGTCCCACCCTCTCCCCCCCCTCCCGACCATGTGCGTACCTCCCCCGTGCGATCCTTTTAGATCCACGGACTCCCCAACAGATGATTCCCCAACAACAGACGACTCGATGGATCTCCCTCCGCCCACCGACATCACGGAGCTGATGACGGGCAGCTCGGAAAGGACCGAGGACACCTCTGCCGACCCAATAACCCCGGACATGGCCCTGCACGCATAGTGGGGGGGGGGGGGGGGGGGGGGGTCAAAGCGAACAACCAGAAATTCAAAGTTCAAAGCGTGCCAGAGGTCAAACTGGTACACGTGTACACGTGTGTGAGTATGTACATGTGTGTGTGTATATGTATGTGTGTGTACACGTGTGTGTGGCACAGTAGGGGGCACAGGTGGTGCATCGGCCAGTCATCTTAGTTGGTCGACCCATGGCACCTGGGTCTGCTCCGTGACCTTCTGCCGGCGGACGTTTAACACTTCACGTGGCCTTAACATGCACATAGCCTGGCACAAGCGCCATGGTGATGTCACCACCACTTAGTGGCGAATTACGGTTGTTGTTTGCGAGTATGAGGAGTGGGAGTGTAACGGTTAGCGCTATGCTACGCTACAAATCCCGTAGAGACCCAAGACTGATTCCCACTCACGGCCACCAACACCGGTGATAGTGATTATCTGAACCGGTACTGAGCCTCCCGAAGGTCGACTCAGCCTCAAATGATCCCTGGTGCGGTGTGTGAAAACATCGCTGCTAGGGAGACAAAGGCGGCCGGGCGTGGTGTTGCCACCCACCCCCTCTTGTGCCACAGTGGCGGCCTTCATAGGTGCTCGATAGCAGCATTCCAGCTATATATAAATATATGTACACAACGCTTGGTACCAAATAAACAACAGACATCGTCAGGGTCGGAATCGAACCGACGACCTCTTGCATACCAGGCAAGGTAGTTAACATATCGCCAAATATACAACAGACTTCGTTAGGGTCAGGATTGACTCCAAGACCTCCTGCGTACCAGGCAATGGTGCTAACATTTCGCCATCTATACAACAAGCATCGCTAGGGTCGGGATCGAATCCACGACCTCCTGCGTACCAGGCGATGATGATAATATCTCGCCACCATAGCGCCCCTACACACACTCTGCTCACCGCTCACCACTCACCGTTCGTATCCCAGGTCGTCCTCTGGTTCCGCTTTGGGTCTGAGCAGGACCGACCCCACCTCCTGTTGGTACCACCCTCCCCCAGCTCCTCCAGATCCTCCGAGGCCACCGCCCACAATGCACGGGGCCCCACCCCCTTCAGAGGCCCCGCCCCCCAAGACGGCAAGGTCAGAGAAGCACTGGGGAGCCATCTCCCACACGCGCAGCGACGTGGGGTCCGGCTCGAACGACGAGGGCGGCGACGCCGACGAGGAAGAGAGGTTGGTCACCCCGACGAGGTGTGTGGCATCCGCGGGGGACGAGAGGGATGAGGAGGAGGTGGAGGGGTCGCCCGTCGAGCCGTGTTTGTGGAAGAGCACCAGGTCCTGGAGTGGGGGTGAGAGAGTGGGGAGTGGGTAGAGCAGTGCAGTGTATATTTTTGTTGTGTATAATGGTGTAGTGTATAGTGTAGTGTACAGTGTAGTGTATAGTGGTGGTGTATAGTGGTGTAGTGTATAGTGGTGGTGTATAGTGGTGTATAGTGGTGTAGTGTATAGTGTAGTGTACAGTGTAGTGTATAGTGGTGGTGTATAGTGGTGTAGTGTATAGTGGTGGTGTATAGTGGTGTGGTGTATAGTGGTGTAGTGTATAGTGGTGTGGTGTATAGTGGTGTAGTGTATAGTGGTGTAGTGTATAGTGTAGTGTACAGTGTAGTGTATAATGGTGTGGTGTATAGTGGTGTAGTGTATAGTGTAGTGTATAGTGGTGTGGTGTAGTGGTATAGTGTATAGTGGTGTAGTGTATAGTGGTGTAGTGTATAGTGTAGTGTACAGTGTAGTGTACAGTGGTGGTGTATAGTGGTGTAGTGTATAGTGGTGTATAGTGGTGTGGTGTATAGTGTAGTGTACAGTGTAGTGTATAGTGGTGGTGTATAGTGGTGTAGTGTATAGTGGTGTGGTGTATAGTGGTGTAGTGTATAGTGGTGGTGTATAGTGGTGTAGTGTATAGTGGTGTGGTGTATAGTGTAGTGTACAGTGTAGTGAATAGTGCTGGCGTATAGTGGTGTGGTGTATAGTGGTGTAGTGTATAGTGGTGTAGTGTATAGTGTAGTGTATAGTGGTGGCGTAAAGTGGTGTAGTGTATAGTGGTGTAGTGTATAGTGGTGTAGTGTATAGTGGTGTAGTGTATAGTGGTGTAGTGTATAGTGGTGTACTGTATAGTGTAGTGTATAGTGGTGGCGTATAGTGGTGTAGTGTATAGTGGTGTAGTGTTGTGGTGTATAGTGGTGTAGTGTATAGTGTAGTGTATAGTGGTGGCGTATAGTGGTGTAGTGTATAGTGGTCCTTTTAAACAATGTATTATTTGATAATTCGCTTCCGTGCAGCACTAAGGCAGTAGCTATCTGAACGGTTACAAATCATTTTATTTCTTTCAATTTCCATAGATTCTATAATTAGTCTTGGCCAGTAGTAGCCAGTTTTGCACAAAACTTCAACATTATTAAAATCAGATTCTTGGTTCTTTCAGTAAAGTCACGTAGAAGAGGAACAATAAAATAATAAAAATATAAATAAAATTCTCACGACATTTCGACTGTAACACAAGCAATCATCATCAGGTGTGGTTTTAACATGACTTTATCGAAAGAACCAATAATATGAATCCCTGCAGTCACGAAAGCTTTAAATCAAAATTGTTAAAATCAATTGAGTGTCCTTGTTGGCACGCGTGTTCTGCTACTGCTGACAGTTGTATTTGGGAGAATTTTATATTTTTCTGATGTTCTTTTAGTCTCGTACTGATCATTCGCCCAACATAACATTTGCCACACGTGCAGTTAATCCTGTACGCACTGTCTGTCGATAGCTTCGGTAATACATCTTTTGTACCAGATATTGATTTTTGTATTTTATGTACCGTGCCAAATCTGACTCGGATGTTTGGTTTTTCCAAACATCTGGCCAGTTAATCAGTTACTCCCACAATGTACGGTATTTTGATCGTTTTAATAACTTGGGCAGTTTCAACGCTCGTGTTATTTAACTTGATTTTGGCATTCAATGCCTTTTTAATTTGTGCATCATTGTAACCGTTCATTTGCGGCGCTTCTTTAACATGTTGAATTTCACTTCTCAGACTGTCACCATCTGACAGTTTCTTAGCTCGGTGAATGAGCGTCTTGATAAGAGAATATTTCTGTGCGGGGTGATGGTGTGACTCCGCATTCAGATACGCATCAGCATGCATTTTATTTCGGTAAATGCTGTGTGTTATTTTACCATTTGGACCCCGTCTGAGCAGAATATCCAGAAATGGTAGCGTTCTGACAGCTTCCACTTCCATGGTGAACTGGATGGATGGGTTTTGCGAGTTGAGATGATTTAGAAATGCGTTCAGTGTATCTTTGCCATGTGGCCAGACCACCAATGTGTCATCCACATATCTAAACCAAGCAGATGGTTTTAGTGTGCTTCAAGCTATTGCTTTTGTTTCAAAATCTTCCATGTACTAATTCGCTATCACAGGAGATCTAGGAAAGCCCATTGCTGCTCCTTCCTTTTGTTTATAGAAGTCACCTTGCCACAAGAAGTAGGTGTTCTTTAGACAGTGTTCAGCTAGTCTTGGGATATCTTTGGCTAAACCTTTGTTCGTTACCAGTGTCAAGTAATTTAATTGACTCGTTGACCGGAACCCTTGTGAACAGAGAAGTCACATCAAAACTTACAAGAATATCATTAGAGTTAAACTTAATATGTTTAATTATATTTACGAGATGTTCAGAGTTTTTGATGAACGAAGAGGTCCTACCGATGTAGGGCTGTATTTGTTTCGTTACACATTGTGCTAATTTGTACGTAGCAGAGCCTATTGTACTAACGATGGGTCTTAATGGGACATCAGGTTGGTGATGAAGCTAGTGAAATGTAGTACTCGGATTGTAAATATTGTGGCTTGGCTCTCCAACACACCGGTGTGCTGTACTAGTGACGAATTGGCCACGTTCTGTTCACGTGACAACCCTGACTAGTTGTCTGTATCGGGTGGTGGCGAGTTTTAACGACACAACATTTAAATATTTAAGCGATCTAACCCAAAAAACCTCTTATGGATATTGGTTGCGAAAACCTACGTGGTTAAACAGTATATATTGGTGAAGCGTATTGTGGTGTAGTGTATAGTGTATAGTAGTGTAGTGTATAGTAGTTAACTCTCCAACACTGGTTAGTGCTGTACTTGTAACGAATTAGCATGTTTCGTGTTACGTGACAAGCCCTTAATAATTGGTTGTGTCGGGTGGTGGCGGGTTTAACGACAAATTTATATTTACGCGATTTAACCCAGAAACCTCTATTTTATAAGTTCAACATACATCTCTTTTAGCCCCTTCCTGTGTCCCTAAGCCCCTCTCGTGGTCTCTACGCCCCTCCCCTTGTCCATAAGTCCCTCCCCTCGCCCCCTCTCCACCCGCTTCTTCCTCACCTTCCTGGCCTTGAGCTTGAGTCTCTTCCAGAGGGCCCGCAGCTGCCAGGGGTCGCGGCTGGCCGCCCTGCCCGCCAGAATGGCGTTGTAGCGGCGCGACAGGCGGTGCCACGCGGCCGCTCGGTCGGACAGCGGAGAGGCGCGCGGCGGCACTGGGGAGGGACCCCCTCCGCCCCCCAGCACCACCCCGGCGGGGTGGGGAGGCCCAGCACCCCCTCCATCCCCCACTCCTCCACCTCCTCCCCCACCACCTCCTCCTCCTCTTGAAGTCTCGTCCAGGAGTCCCGACTCCCCGGCGAGGAGTCGCAGGAAGACGCGCTTCTCCTCCTCCGAGTAGTTCTCCGTGCGGATTCGTCTCAGCATGGTCGCCATGTTGTGCTGCTGCTGCTGACTCGTGCCGACTTGTGGTGGTGGTGACTGGTGGTGGTGACTGATGGTGGTGGTGACTGGTGGTGGTGGTGACTGGTGGTGGTGACTGATGGTGGTGGTGGTTGATGGTGGTGGCGATGACTGGTGGTGGTGGTGACTGGTGGCAATGGTGACTGGTGGCAATGGTGATGACTGGTGGTGGTGATTGGTGGCAATGGTGACTGGTGGTGGTGGTGATTGGTGGCAATGGTGATGACTGGTGGTGGTGACTGGTGGTGGTGATTATGACTGGTGACTGTGGTTGTTTCTGTGCGACCGTGGTGACGATGGCGACTGTTATCGTGCGATTGTGGTTATAGCTACGACGACGACGGTGATGATCGAGCGCTTGTTGATGACAGTCGTTATGAAGGTCGTGATGCTTGCCTTGCCGATTGTCACGGACAGCTACGATCGGATGACGACGCTCATCGGCTATGACGGTAAAATAAAAGAATTTAATCGTTCGGCGACTTAGAAAATCTCCACCTTTGCCAACATCCCAATTACGAGCACCGACAGAATCGGATGAAGCCACAGAATCCTCAAGGGGTGTTGAGGATCACCGCAGTAGGAATGGCGCCCCCGTCACCTCGTGTGGTTACCAGAAGTGGCCCTGTGCGGATTAGCGGCACATCATCATTGTGGGCGGCTTCATCCAGCAGTGGATCGATCAAGGATGGGATCTTCACGCGTGAACCAGACTGGTGAAGTATGGTCAAAGTAACCCAGCCAGTCACCACCGCTCTCATCCAGCAGTGGATCGATCAAGGATGAGATCTTCACGCGCGAACCAGACTGGTGAAGTATGGTCAAAGTGACCCAGCCAGTCACCACCCCTCTCATCCAGCAGTGGATCGATCAAGGATGAGATCTTCACGCGCGAACCAGACTGGTGAAGTATGGTCAAAGTGACCCAGCCAGTCACCACCGCTCTCATCCAGCAGTGGATCGATCAAGGATGAGATCTTCACGTGCGAACCAGACTGGTGAAGTATGGTCAAAGTGACCCAGCCAGTCACCACCGCTCTCATCCAGCAGTGGATCGATCAAGGATGAGATCTTCACGTGCGAACCAGACTGGTGAAGTATGGTCAAAGTGACCCAGTAGCCACCACCAACCTCCACCTCATCCGGCAGCGAAAGTCTAAAAAAATACGAAAAGTAGAAACTTAACCCACACAACCTCTCGTCAAATCGATAACTATTCAGTGATATTGACGACGTAGTTGTGTTTACACGCGACATTATGTACGACATACAAACACTAAAACGACGCGAATGACGCTTCTTAAAAGGTCACTATAAAGACAAAAACTACGGAGCCGACTGATTCAGCGAAGACCCCGGTTGCAAAAGCCCCATCGAAATCGACGCCGACTGTGACCACCACTGCCGCTCACTAACAACAACAAACAGCAGCAGCAGTGAGTAGTTAGTGATCTATAACCAACCTGCAGTGAGTTAGCCTTGTTTGTTGTCGTTTGCGAGCGGGTTAAGAGGAGACCGCGGCCTAGCGCTTGCTAAGGGGGGGGGGGGGGGCTTAGGCGAGGCGCTCGCTAGGCCGCGACTTTCAAATCGGATTAAAAAAACTCGCCGAGCGGGGCCGCAGTAAAACGCCACACAAACAAAACCACCACCACCTGACTCACCGTCACGACGACGATGGTGGGGGGGGGTGTGGGGGGGCTGCCGCCCCCCACCTCTTGTTAACTCGCAAGGCCTCTAGGCCAGTGCTTCTTGTTGTTCTTGTTGTGGGGGGGGGGGTCTAGAGAGCGACACGGAGCCGGGTAGGAGGAAGGCGGCGGGCGGGGAGACTTCGGGGGGACTCCGACTCGGACCTCGCGCCTCTCGTAGTCGCGCCTTGGCGGGCAGGCGACGGCCGTGGTGCTGGTGGTGGTGGTGCTGGCCGGGGTTACTGTCCGGGCTTACGGCGGCGTGGAGGCGGCGTGAAGGGATAAACCTCCCCCCATCCTCCTCAGCAGCAGCAGCCACCGTCCCGTGCCCCCTCCCCCTAGACTCCCACCCCCACCCACCCGGCTTAGCTAAGCCGCCCCTAAGCCAAGCTAACGCCGCACCGCCGGCGACTGCACGCGGACAAGACGCCCGACTCAGCAACCTGAACAACGCATCGAATCTTTTATTTATTTAAGGTACATTTTTTAAAAAAATCTCGCGCCGGTCGGCGTTGGAATTGACATCGGCTGCTCGCTCTGTGAGGGCCGCGGGGTTTAAAAGTTCATTTGAGTTTTAGTTTTTTTGTGTCTGCGGGGGATATTTCGACCCGTTGGTAGCGTATAGCGGAAAAAGGCTCGCGTGCTAAAGTGGTATATTTTATTTACTTTATTTTGTTCAAATTCTTTTTCGCTCGAGGTTTTATGAATTACAATTAACGTCGCGTGCTTACTCTACGGGGCTGTGGAGTTTAAAAGTAAATTTTAGTTTTATCTTCGGAGATGGTGAACGCTTAGCGCGGCTGTATGCGATAAGGGCCCGCCAGCATTGCCCTATGGTCAAAAATGAGTAAATATTATTAATTTGTATTTTGCTCAAAGTCATTTTCGCTCGCGGTTTAAGGATTTGGAAATGATATCGGGAGCTTACTCTACCGGAATGTGAAGTGTAAATGTTAATTCGAGTTTCATTTACGAAGATATTCAAGTATTGCAGCGACTGTATGCAAACAAGACGCGCTACTTCATGGAGCAACGTTCCGTCCCGTTCACAGTGCAATACACGACATTTAACAATTTATTTTGTTAAGGTATTATTCGGTCGTATTTGAATATGATATTAATACGGACCCGTTACTCTACTGGGTTATGAATATTTAGGATGGATTTGAGTTTTATCTACGGAGATATTCATCTTTGTGAGCAACTGCCATACGACCAATAAACGGCACTTCAAAACTAAATAACGCAACAAGTGTGCATAATTATCCACGTGTTATAAAGTGTGCATAACTATCCACGTGTTACAAAGTGTGCATAATTACCCACGTGTTACATGGTGTGCATAATCTAGGGGGGGGGGTTTGGGGTCCGAATCATGAGTTCGACTAGAGGAATCCGGTGAGCTATGAAATATGAATCTCTTTTTCACAGACGCTCAATGAAAGTGTAATATGCAACGTTTCTGCTAATGGCCCTTATTAATAGAACATGTATAGAACGTTTGGCTATTTACGCATCGTCCCGGGGGTCCCCAGGAAGTCCATGATCGTCCCACCTGGGGCCCCAGCGACGAGGACCTGCTCCAGAAGTGTGAGCTTTCGATAACCCGCCGCTCTGTTTAACCCCTGGGGTATGGGTTCACGACTGTGGGTTCTCGCTGGAAACTTTTCATTCTCGCTCTTCTGTTTACATTGTTCTTGAAGCTTCCCGCAACGCAGCTGAGTGATGTCAGCCGGGACGGCTGATTCGAGAAGGGAGGCAGGGCCAAGGCGGAGCCAGGCCGCGCGGGTTAGGGTTATAGGGTTAGGGTTATAGGGTTAGGGTTATAGGGTTAGGGTTATAGGGTTAAGGTTAGGGTTATAGGGTTAGGGTTATAGGGTTAGGGTTTTAGGGTTATAGGGTTAGGGTTATAGGGTTAGGGTTTTAGGGTTAAGGTTAGGGTTATAGGGTTAGGGTTATAGGGTTAGGGTTATAGGGTTAGGGTTTTAGGGTTATAGGGTTAGGGTTATAGGGTTAGGGTTATAGGGTTAGGGTTTTGGAGTTAGGGTTATAGGGTTAGGGGTTTAGGGTTAGGGTTATAGGGTTAGGGTTTTAGGGTTAGGGTTTTAGGGTTAGGGTTAGGGTTATAGGGTTAGAGTTTTAGGGTTAGGTTTATAGGGTTAGGGTTATAGGGTTAGGGTTTTGGGGTTAGGGTTATAGGGTTAGGGTTTTAGAGTTAGGGTTATAAGGTTAGGGTTTTAGGGTTAGGGTTATAGGGTTAGGGTTTTAGGGTTAGGGTTTTAGAGTTAGGGTTTTAGGGTTAGGGTTTTAGGGTTATAGGGTTTTAGGGTTAGGGTTGGGTTATAGGGTTAGGGTTTTAGGGTATAGGGTTTTAGGGTTAGGGTTTTAGGATTAGGGTTTTAGGGTTAGGGTTTTAGGGTTAAGGTTTTAGGGTTATAGGGTTAGGGTTTTAGGGTTATAGGGTTATGGTGTTAGGGTTAGGGGTTAGGATTAGGGGTTAGGTTTAGGGTTAGGATAAGGGTTAGGGGTTCGGGGCTGGGGGTTAGGGTTATGGGTTGGTGTTAGGGGTTGGGGTTAGGGTTAGGGGGTTAGGGTTATGGGTTAGGGGTTGGTGTTAGGGGTTGGGGTTAGGGGTTGGGGTTAGGTGCTAGGGTTAGGGGTTGGGGTTAGGGGTTGGGGTTAGGGTTAGGGTTAGGGGTGAGAGGTTAGGGGTTGGGGTTAGGGGTTGGGGTTAGGGGTTGGGGTTAGGGTTAGGGTTAGGGGTGAGAGGTTAGGGTTAGGGGTTGGGGTTAGGGGTTGGGGTTAGGGGTTGGGGTTAGGGGTTAGGGGTTAGGGGTAGGGGTTAGGGTTGGGTTAGGGTTTAGGGTTAGAGTCAGGGTTAGGGTAAGGGTTAGGGTTTTAGGGTTAGGGGTTAGGGTTTTAGGGTTAGGGTTGTAGGGTTATAGGGTTAGGATTTTAGGGTTAGGGTTAGGGTTTTAGGGTTATAGGGTTTTAGGGTTAGGGTTTTAGGGTTAGGGTTTTAGGGTTAGGGTTTTAGGGTTAGGGTTTTAGGGTTATAGGGTTAGGGTTTTAGGGTTATAGGGTTTTAGGGTTAGGATTTTAGGGTTATAGGGTTAGGGTTTTAGGGTTAGGGTTATAGGGTTA